AAAATGCATCATAATCGACACTTGGGCGTGAAACTAAGGGTATTTCGACACATACATGTCGAAAAATAGGTGTATTTTCGACCTGTATGTGTCGAAAATACATGGCGAGCTTTAAAAAAAAAAAAATTTCAAAATCGATGTTTTAGCTCAAAAAATACATGAATACATACCTGAATGGGTTCTCCTTGCTCGTAAACTACCATTCTATTGTCATTTGAGGCCATTTTGCAAGTTGTGTAAGGTTTTGATTTCTTTTGTTTTGGGTTTTTTTAGGAGGGTTTTTGGGGAGGGAGAAGAAGGAGTTGGAGGAGGTGAGGGGTTTGGGAGTGAGGAGGGAAATGTTTTTTTTAGGTTTTTGATTATTTGGTTTTTAAGAAAGAAAAATAGTATTTGTAATATTATTTGGTTTTAATTTTCATTAAGGGTATTAAAGTAATTTACAATTAATTATTTAATTTCTATTTTTTTGGTATTCAACTAAGCAAAAGTTAGTATTCAAAATAGTTGTCCCCTTACTTCACGGCTCTCTCTCTCTCTCCATCTCGAAGAAGACACATAAACAAATTAAGCATTTATTAATTGCGCAAACAAATCATTGCGCTCAAGAGCAACGGGATGTGATCTATTTTTTTGCTTCGACCAGATTTCAAATGGATTCAACCAACAGTTCGACGGTAATTTTTTTAATTTTTTTAAAATATTTTTTCGTGATTGTTGATGTAGACTGTTCATTGACGACAATGTGTGTTTCGAATGTTTTTCTTTTTTTTGAATTTTTTAATTTCGGTTGTTGGTGTTAAATTATTAATGGTGAGATGCAGGGGTCGAGCTCGTTGGCATTTGCGGAGAAAATCTGCGCGGCTATGATTCCGATTATAGCAATAATTGACGCGCTGATTTTCGCGGTTTCCGGTTGTTTCGATTGCCGCAGCAAGAAATTGCGCAATGGGTACCAGGAGATTGTTCGTCTCTCTGAGGAATCTCGATGTAAAGTAATTTTAATTGTGTATTTATTATTATTTTTTTCTGTTTTATTTAAATATTTTTCAGTTTCTCCGTAACTTGATTAACACAATTATTGAGATGGATAACTCTTGCTTTTGCAGTTTCTGTAAATGAAGTGGAGGCATTGCATGAGTTGTTTAAGAAGTTGAGCAGTTCGATTATTGATGATGGATTGATTCATAAGGTATATATTTCTCAGCTAAATCATTGTAGATTCCAATTAATTGCTGCTTTGAAACTCGCATTATTGTCTATTTCTAGGAAATCTTGTGCATCTGTCTAATTTTTACAGTTTTTCGGGTTCTTCTTTAGTTTTGTAATAGTTGTTTGTTGGTGATAAAAATGCATTATAGTTTTGCACAGGTTTATTATTTTCACCCTATACTGTACATAAAGGTAGTACAGATATTTTTTCTTCCTAACTTTTCGTTGTTGGCATGTAGGAAGAGCTTCAGCTCGCATTGTTTAGAACTGCTTGCGGGCAGAATCTTTTCTTGGACCGGGTAATCACAATCTCAACTCTTTTTTTTTTTTTTTACATCTTGACTTTGACATTCTTAAAGATTAAAAGCCTTGGCTCTATATTTTATTTTGCTTAGACTGTAGATACATATTGCTCTTCCATTTGTATGCAGAAGAAGCTCTTTGGTGTTCATACGGTTCCCTGATATTACTTGCAGGTTTTTGATATTTTCGATGAAAAAAGGAATGGAGTTATTGAATTTGAAGAGTTTATCCATGCACTTAATGTGTTCCACCCTTACGCACCTATGGAAGAGAAAATAGACTGTAAGATATCGTAAGGATTCTTGTTGGTTTACAAGATGCATTTTAACCTTGTGAGCTACATTATACGAACTCGATTGTAGGGGATATCATTAATTCCAATTTGTGCACTCACTTTGTTATTCTGCAGTTGCATTTAAGCTTTATGATCTGAGACGAACAGGGTTCATCGAGCGAGAAGAAGTAAGTCTTTAGCTATGCAACTCTTATTCTCATACTAATAAACTGTATAAATTGGAAGTAGGTTGAAAGGATTTGTTCTTCGTAATAAGAATATCCATAAATTGATGTTCATGGAGTGTGTAGTTTTTATTTTCGCGTACCTTTTCTCAAAAATGAAAACTGAGATACATGTAGAAAAGCTATTATTAAGGTATTGACATTCTCAGACCTATTATCCTTTTCGTAGTAATTCGACACTGTTGTGTTGGTCTCTCATAACCTATATTCTCTATTGCTTTGTCTTTCGTTGTTGCACTATATCTTTTTTTTTTCCCATTGTTGCACTACATATTGTTTTTTTCCATATTAAAGCATTATTCAACTTGATTTCAAGAGGTAATGGGTAAATTCAAACTTCAGGTCAAGCAGATGGTGATTGCAATACTTAAGGAATCTGATATGGAACTTTCTGACGAACTCCTGGAACAAATACTCGACAAGGTAAAAAAAAGTTAAAGGCCCAAATTGAAGTTTTTTTTCCTCACATAATATTAATTACTGATTGTGGGTTCATCTTTTCAAAAGACATTTGCTGATGCGGATGCTGATAAAGATGGTAAAATCAATAAAGAAGAGTGGAAGGATTTTGCCACACGGCATCCATCCCTTCTAAGGAACATGACTTTACCTTACTTGAAGTATGCTCTTTTGTCCTTCCTCAGATATACTGGAATTATTCTCTTTAAGAGCCTATTTACCTAAAATGAAAGCGCGTTCCGTTTGCTTGGTGGTTATACGGATTTTGGTTAAACGGGAACAATTTCTTTGCTGCATACGTTTTTGGCTTTGAACTCTTGGATAATTAATTATCTGACAGTGATCATGTTTGCATTTTTGCAGAGACATAACTACGGCTTTTCCAAGTTTTGTGTTTAACACCGAGGTTGAAGATTGAGATACATAAAAATCATTTATTGGAATCATATTTTGATTAGAGTTCTCGGTGAAGAGAGATGATGATAAATCCCATTATTGATGTATTCTCAACTTGAGTACAACCTGTCAAAGGAGGAATTTGTGACTCCTGGGACAAGAGCTAAGTTAACATCAGATCTCAACAACTTGTACAACCAATTGAAAATTTATGTTTCCTAATCTATCTATGCATGCATTTTTTGTGCATGAGCACTCTTTTCCTAGCATCCCTAGTCCAGCTTAGGTTGTAGTCAAAGTGCTTCGTGATGTATATATACAATATCTAAACGAATTTGCTTTATTCCTAAATAACTTTAATTTTTTACGTTCCAATGTTAGTAATTTATACTGGGTTAGGTATCCATAAATCAAATTTGTTCTAGCTAGTGATGGCGTTCCACAACATACCAAATCATATCTGGATTCTCATAACATTCGACAAAATTGATTATTCCAAAATTACTTTCAGGTAATTTCAATAAAAACAAATTCCAATAAATCATCTTTTTTTAAAAACATTAAAAACTCATTATAAAGAGGCTAATGAACTAGCAGTATAGCACACTAATTAAATGATCAATAAGGCATATAGTCCCAATAATACATGGTTTAAACTTTAGTGGCATATACCGCAAGCACAATAGAAAAGTTTACTCATCCACTTCTCTTTTTTCCGTGATAGAATTAAAGAAGAAGCTGGTAGAGCCACACGCAAGCTAACTCGCATTCATCTTGCTTTTCCTTTACTAACTATATCTTCTTTCGATACAAATCTGTAGAGACCATTTTATACAGTTACTTTTTTGGTGGTCTCGACAAACAGTACAACTCATGCCTTTTTTTTTCGTTTTTCTTTTATTTAATTTTTGTTTTTTTTTTTTTTTTTTAAGAGACTTCTTACAAATATATGCTACTACATTTGATTTAACCCTAGAACTACAAAGATCCTTGGTGCTACTTTTTGAAGTTTAAGGGCATTTGCTCTTTTATCCGAGTTAATAATTAATTGGCTGCATTGAGTTCCCACTTCGAATGAACCAACACCTACCAATCCAACTACTTTTTTACCTTGACGATTTCTCGAACTTTTGTCTTCTCCCAGCTCTTTCAAACGAGCTTTCAACAATCTTTACATCACATCTAATTTGTACTACTCTCAGTTCTCTGCACGCAAAGGTGCTGCAGACGTTTGAGACGAGTAATAATCTCTGCAAAAGAAGGGCGTGCCTGTGGATTTCTGCAGAAACATAACCCCAAATTTGAATTTAAATCTGAGGGAATAATATGTATATATAGTTTCGAACTGTCCCTTTTAAGACAAGGATAAAAAAAAGTTCACCTATTCCAACACTCGCTTATTATATCGGCCACAAGTGGATCGACCATGGGGGGAATATCAAGATGTCTGCCCTGGAATCCAACGGCTCCAACAACTTGCATTGAGTTCATTTCTGTCCATGGAACTCGCAGAGTTGCCAGCTCCCATAGTATGACACCGAAGCTATATACATCAGATCTGCAATTTAAAATTTACAGAAAACAAAATGGTGAGATATTCAGTTATAATATCCTAAAATGAATTATACTTTTCACAAGGGTTCAGAGCACTGGTAGACAAGTAACTCACTTCTCATTAGATGGTTCATTTCTCAGAACCTCTGGTGCCATCCACTCTGCCTGCACGTGTAGCAAAAAAAATAGTAGCCAGTAAATATTTTATACGTCAACATTTTGCTTTCTTCTTTTCTTTATATTTGAAGTGAAACTGATTGTTTATCAGTAAAAGACTAAAAGAAAAGCTAAAACAATGGGTCAACAGGCATTACAGTTCCAGCAGTCGACTTTGAAGATAGAAAAGTATGGTGCTGTAGACGAGACATCCCAAAATCACAAACCTAAAAAGCTCAAGAAAGCAAATATGAGATAAATATATATGTGAGTGTGTGTGTGTGTGTGTGTGTGTGTAAAAAGAACTTCATTATTCGTAGTCATTAGGGTTGTAAAAGTTAAAAATGGTCCCTCCACCTTAACGATCCAATTTTTATCAACGAGGAGATTTGGAGTCTTTAAATCTCGATGCACAATGATAGGATGGCTAGTGTGCAAGTAATTCATGCCCTTGGCCTGCAAAATAATGGCGCATCAATAGAGGGTAAAGGAACATGATAGCAGAAAAAACTGGATTACAATCTTTGGAGCAAATACCACATCGAGGGCCATTTTTATTCGCCTTTTTTCATCAATGTGGATATTTGGCCGGTGCAGCAGTTTATATAAACTACCCCTGCAAGTAAGAAAAGATTATGAGAAGCTAAAAGAAAAAGGCCAGTAGATACATTAGTTTCATTGCAGACGTTAAATAAATAACTACAAAAATACGGCACAAGTATCCGTTCGAGGAATACAATACAAACCTTGGAAGAAATTCTGTCAATATTGACATATTCGGGGGGCTCGTCACTGCTCCCATGAAAAGAACAATATTTGGATGTCTCAACCTCAACATGATCTCAATCTACATCAAGCCACAGGTAACCATAGATTACACCAAAACTAAACTAAATGAACAGAAAACTCTATCTAGTATGTACAGTATAATGCATAGAAGAATGCCAAAACACTAACCCTTACCTCACATTTAAATTGTGTGAGTGCATCACCTGTGATATCTTGTTTCATGAACTTCTTCACTGCAACTTCCTGACATGAAATAATAGTATTTACGTTACTGTAAGTATAAATTAAAATTACGGCAATACATACCCATTTATACTGGAAGACAAAGAACAAAACACATACAGACAAATATTATATAGTTTCAGGAGCAGTGGATTGTTCTAAATTTCGGAAGGAACTCAAATAATATGCACATGGCCACAGAAATATTTTGAGTGCCGACAGTAAATTCAAATGCACTAAGATAAAATCAAAAGTAATATATTCATGTAATTTTTGATTCAAGACATATATAAACCACATATGCAACTCTCTGATGAAAAGTAACACTTACTGTGCCATTCCATTCACCTCGGTAGACTTCACCATATGATCCTGCACGAAATGCACATGTTCAGTTTATTAAACTCGAGCAAAGATAATAGCCTCTGAATAGAAGTCTTACAGCATTGCAACTCCAAAGCAATGGACTGATATATCTTTAAATAAGTCAAAAACAATAGACCTAAGTCGAAAGTACTAGTTTTGATTAGAATGGAAAGGCTTACATAGAATTCCTGTAAGAACAGATCTACTTTATTTAAACATGCACTAGAATGACTGAGTAGTGTTCACAGCAAAAGTAGGGGTTTGCTTAAAAAATACTCAGAAAAAGGCACATCTAAACACCATATAAACCTTGCTCTATTTTACACAACTCACAGCCAATGAAGGATAAAATCTAATGATAGGACTTTTACCTATGCCAATGCGTTCACCAATATGAAGATCCTCCCATAAAATCTCAGCAACTCCATTTAGCACAGGATCACTTTGCATATTGTGAATCTTATTAGCATCAGACTTGTCATCATAGGCTATGCCCATAGCTTCTCTATTTCCAGAAAAATCAACAATTTCACTACCAACTGCAGCACCATAATTTGGGACCATTTCCATACTATCTTTAACAAACACATTTTGTTTGCCTTGAATGAAAGATGATTTATATCCTGCTAACTCCGGTTTGAACTGGTTCCCTCTCAATCCATCAGCTGAACGTTTTCTGCAACTGTCGTTAAAAATGTTATTAACATGAGACAGCTCATTATTTAACAAGGATATCTCTGGATGACACTGATCAACACCCTTTTCTCTTCTCACTATTCTGTCACTTTCTAGCAATTCCCCTTCTCTATCATCAGAACTTATGGAAAGCAAATCTTCATGCGCTGATGCAAGTTTCTCGAACAACATAGAAGAAAGTTCTCTAGAAAACTCTGGTCTTTTGGCAGCACTGGTGACATACACTGAAACATCTTCTATATGTGAATCTCTTCCAGTTGTTTTATTTCCGGCATGCACTGGCGCTTCACATTCTCCAATTGGATATGGATAAATATCTCTAGTGTCATGTTCCAACTGGCCAGTCTGGATTTTTCCAGCTATTGATTCGGTGGCCATTGAAGATTTTTCTGAACTCAAACTTCTGGTTTTGGCAGTTTCATCCACACTATGTGTACATGATCTAATTCTAGCTCCTTGTTCAGGTGCTGTAAATGAACTTTGGCCAACCCCTGCAATAGATCTTGTATCCAAACCGAAACTCTGAAGATGACTGCTGGGTGTTTCAGCAGGAATCAGAGTGCCTGGAGCACCCATTAGATCAATAATGTACTCGCTGCATAAATAGAACAAATTAATTTAACCATCACTCATCATTATTTTTGGTAAAACACAGAGTTTAACTCCAGAAACATTTCAAAGATATACACACTACTAGAAAATAAAAACTAGACTAAATATGAAGAGATCCTATAACCGAAAAAACAAACCTATCCGTGGGGACCAACATAAAGAAGGAGGGACACTGGCAAAGAAAACTCATTTGCATTGATTCCTCTTAACTTTTAATAAAATAAAATAACTGAAAGAACAGTATGAAGTTGATGAAATTCAAAGTATATAATGGGTAAAAAATAATTAGAGTATCACAACCCATGAATAGCATGGCATGATTGCTTGTAAATGATAAATCAGAACAAAGTGCAACAAAAAAAATTATCACAGATAATTTTTAGCTATCAAGATTCATACACAAATGGCAAAACTAGGTGCAAAAGGGAAACTACGTGAAATGAAAAGATCGCTAAACTAACAAATAAAGAAGCTATTACCTTTCACTATCCAATTTTATCAAGTTCACAGCTCCTTCATCAGTGCCGGTATAATAACTCCCTTTGACAAGCTTACATGGAAGATTAATCCTATCAGCAAGTACCTAAAACCCAACTTTTGATCAGAATGCAAGGTGACCAGGTTTACATATAAGGAATCACTAACATGGAAATGATTTGAACAAATGAATGGTTACTATATATTGGCTCTTTATCATATCAAAGAGGCAATACACACTCTTCCCAATAAAAAGCAAGATATGGAAGTAAGCCAGACATATTAGTATCATTCTATTTGAAAGATAAAGCATAATCGACATGAAAGTTAAAAGTAAGCGTAGAAGAAAGAAATCATTTACAACCTTAAAGAGTAAGGCCCTTTGCCGTGAGTTTCCAACATCAAGAGAGCCAAGGGGAAGGACGACTGTATTGAAGTGGAGTTTTAGCTCAAGATTCCTTGCCCTCCATCTCCTAAACATTTCTTCAACATCACTAACGGGACCTCCCATTCTTTCCACAACAAGATCAGCAATTTTTTGAACTAGAAAACTCGTATTCAGGCCCCTATTCATTGCACGGCATTCCATGGAGATAAAATAAACTCTTTCCTCGAGTTTCCTCAGTTCCATATCAACCGCCCGATTGACTGATACAACCTCATAAGCAACATTATTCGAAACAGAAATTGCTTCAAGATCTGCCAGGGATGGCATTTTTGCTTGGACCAGCAAATTTGAATCGATTCCACAAACATCATAGAAGCCATCTATAACTTTCTCATCATAATTTACAACGTTATAGCTCTGCATTTCAAAAGGAGGAAGAAAAGAGCAAAGAACTTTATCAACGGTTTCAACTTTCAAGAGACAAGAAATGCCAAAGTAAATTTATTTATTTCATTTTCCCTTCTTGGGAAATATGGGGTTACAATGGAGGTGGCAGAGTGAAGATGGAGCAAGTGATGCTGTAATCAGTAAGTTGAAAATGATTGATTAAACTGAAGAGTTCAAAAACATACAATTCGTCTATGAAACAAAAAACCAGTTTATCGAGGATAAAGGATTCTCTCATTAACAACATTCTCATTATATTAACACTACGTTAAAAGTAATTCACTATTTCTGAAGACCAAAAGCATGGGCTACTTGTATTATATGATTCTTGAATGAATGACCTATTCGGATTTTGCTGGCATGATATAATGATTCAGATTATTACTTATTCACAAGACGTAATCCTCACCCTAACCAAGCAAAAAAGACACAGGCCATAAGGATAAATGTCTTCGATATTTTCCACATGCCTGCAGATATTTAAATAAATTTGGCAATGCTGATCTCAATTTAGAGGTTTATTCACCGAAGCATCAGGTCGAATCCTTGTTCAGTCATACAAAGATGTAATAAATAAATTTCAATGCATGTTCATTTTCAAGTTTTTACAACACCACAATATTTGCACCAATAAATGGGGTAATCATAAGCCCTTTAGTTGCAGGGGAAATTCTGTCAAACCGCATGCATGAGAAAAACACAACTGTGGAAGCATTTTGGAACCAAGACACCTAATCACGAGTTCTTAGATGAAGCGTGTTTTTAGAAATTTTACAAAATAAGGGTTGTGGTGGCGTCATGTCTACATTGTTCCTATTATACCGAGACCTTTGTTTTCAGGAACTGAAAACTAAATGCAATTATTTATTCTACACCACACATAGTTATAGAATATTTTCTCTCAACATGAACACAATTCTCACCATCAAAATGCAATTAATGTACGCAGTAGAAGAAATAATTACACAGTAAATTGAGCAACATATAATCCAAGGGACAAATTAAGCTTAATATCCATTCGCATAAACAAATTTCTGACCCAAATAAAACCACATTCTCAAAACAGACATAGAACTTGCCAAGTTACAACTACTGTAAACCTCAAAATACAGAAGAGAAAAAACAAATATTAAGAGAAGCGATTTTACCCAATATCGGAGCGATAGAAAGTCAGCCAGGCTTTGAGAAGGCGAGCGGCCGAGGCTAATCTGCTTAACGGCGTTGATTTGAGCAGTTTCGGAGTCAACGCAAGTTTGACCCGGATCCGAAACGCTAATAGCCAACGCTAATTGCATTTGGAACTCCTCCTCCAGGAAATTGAAACTGTTGCTCGAGGCCTCGTTGTCGGAGGGAGAAGTCTCCGGTGGCAAATCGGAGGTCTGCGACGGCGGCGATAACGAAGACGAGGTCGAAGTCTGATTCGGCGGCGAAGGATCGAGTGCGGCTGTCGGCGGCCGCCCCTGGTTGTGGTGATCGCCGATGTGAAGCTTCCGCAGTAAGTGCTTCATCTTCGACATGTTCGCAGGCTCTCATCAATCGAAGAAGAACAACAACAAAAAAAAAATAATCGATAATTTACAGGAAATAATAAATATTCCGAAAACGAAAATCAAAAAAAAAACGAGGAGAAATCAACAGTTTGGTTTCAATCTGATGGATTCGAAATCGGGAAATAGGTAATTGTTTTTACGAATTAGGGAATTGGGGTTTGAAATGGGCATATCGGTGGGTGTAGATTTTAGAGAGAGAAAGAGACGCGGTTTTAACCTGCGCACTTAGGAAGGGGAAGAAGTGTGTGTGAGAGTGAGTCTTCAATCTTCATCGTCAAGCCAGCATATTATAATATATATATATCACTTAATATCAGTGGGGGAATAATTAATTAACTACTGCCTCCTTCCTTCCTTCCCTCCAACTTATTTTATTTTCCTCTATTTTTTTTTTATTTTTTTTTCTAAAAAAATCGTAATAGTTATTTAAATTTACATTATGCTACTTTTTGTGAATTTTAGAAATATCAAACCGAATTCTTCTTTTATTTAATAATAATAATTTATCCCCTAAAGTTACTACGAGCATTTTTCTTCTTTTTTTCGTTATTTTTATCGTTGGATAATCTTCACTTTGAGGATTGCTGAAATTAGTCAAGAATAATTAAATAATTGAACTTTATCTGAACAACGATCAATGAGAAAATGTGTTTGTATTTACTTCGTGGAAGTGTTTAGATGTTTTTGGTCCAATTACACTGATAAATTTTCATAAAATTGTATAACCTTTTGTTTTTTAATTAATTTTATCTAGAAAAACAAAAATAATTCATATATTGACTTGACAGGATACTTTATAAACAGATTTGGTAAATCTCAAACTTATAATAATATTTTATATTTAGAGTTGTGTAATTTTATATTCCTTGAATCGCATTGTTGGATTGCACTATGTTGTCACAAAAAAGCCAATAAAAGCATCCAAAACATAAAGGAATTAATTATAAAAAATAAAAATAAAATAAATAAATAAAAAAAAAGAGGAAGCACTGATAAAAAGAAAACTAATATACTGTAAAAATTAGGACATAATAAAAACTGAAAAGTAGCAATTATCAGCAACAATTGTTATTACTGATCTTCTCAGCAACAACTGTTATTAACTTGTTTATGTACAAAAAAAGATGATGAAAAAAAATAAAAAAATATTGCAATAATCTTAAGCAGTTGCTTCAGCTGCTTCTTCAGCCATCTGTGATACCGAAAGTAAGGTGCAGACGAGGTTGCGATCTCCATACACATTGTCGACTCGTCCTGATAATAAAATAATAAATTATAACAATGAATTTAGCTTGGCTACATTAAAAAATTATAATCAAATCAAGCTCAAAAGCCATTTTCAAAGCTCGATAAAAATTCAACCAAACTCGAACAATAAGAATTTATACGAACCGGTGGTTGGCCAAAACTTGGCAGTTCTGAGCCATGCAGCAGGGTAGGCAGCATATTCCCTTGAATATGGTTTCGTCCATTCATCAGCCATGAGCAACGACGGTGGATGAGGCGCCCCCTGAAATATTATTAACCCAACTAATTATTTTTTCTACATTTATGAAAAATAAAAACGAAATACATAAATGAATAGGCAAAATGATTTAAAAAAAATAAATATATATATATATATATATATATATATATATATATATATATATATATATATATATATATATATATATATAGAGAGAGAGAGAGAGAGAGAGAGAGAGAGAGAGAGAGAGAGAGAGAGAGAGAGAGCAGAAATTTGGATTATACCTTGAGAACATTGTTGTGAATATCGGCTTTTCCTTTCTCGATTAAGGAAATTTCTTCTCTGATCAATATAAGTGTATCACAAAATCTGTCTAGCTCTGCCTGTAAACAGAATTTAAAAAATAAATAAAAATAAAAATAAATAATAATAATAATTGTTATTTGCATGTGAGTATGTCAATTTTATATATATGAAAGTTTATTTATTATGAATTTATTCTGAATTTAGACCTTGCTTTCACTTTCAGTTGGTTCAATCATGAGTGTACCAGGAACAGGCCACGACATAGTTGGTCCATGAAAACCGTAGTCCATGAGACGCTTAGCCACATCTTCGGGCTCGATTCCAGCTGTATTCTACATTAGTAAAAAAGAAATATACGATTTTATTCATTTGAAACTTATTTAATTACAAGGACGAAAAAACTGCTAATAAATTAAATGATTTCCGAAGATAAGAAATCATCACCTTGAAGCCTCTCAAATCTATAATGAACTCATGAGCAACTGTTCCATTAACTCCACGGAAAAGAATCGGGTAATGGTCCTATTTATTATAAAAAAATCAAGAACCGAGAAAAAAAAGGACCGTAAAAAGAAATAGAGAAAATAGATTAGAGAGAAGCGAAAGAACCTCCAATCGTTTCGCCATGTAATTTGCATTCAAAATTGCAATCTTCGACGCATCGGTCAAACCGTTTGACCCCATCATTGCAATATAAGTGTATGATATTGGCAGAATTAAAGCCGAGCCCCAAGGTGCAGCTGAAATGGTACCGAGTGGCTGAGATTTATCCGGTGCTGGTATACCTCCAGTCGCCACCTACAATATAGTATTAACCAAATTCCAAAAAAAAAAAATCAATTTATTTAATTAATCATGGCTTATCTTGCCAACCAAACGAGGATTTAGAAGAGATTACATACCACAGGATGTGAGGGTAGAAATGAAGCTAAGTGTTTCTTCACCCCAATAGGCCCCATGCCGGGCCCACCTCCACCGTGAGGAATACAAAATGTTTTATGGAGATTTAAATGGCAGACATCCGCACCGATAAATCCCGGGCTAGTTAGACCAACCTGCATTTTAAAGAAATAAATTCTTTAAACTTATATAAAAAAAGTTAGAGAAATAAATAAAAGATGGGATGTAATAAATGTCCCGTTTCAACTTCAAACATGATTTTGACCATTTTCGACTTCAAACATGATTTTGGTCAAAATCACGTTAGAAGTCAAACTGTTAAACCTAAAACCGAAACGACATTTATCATTTCAGATGAAAGATTTATTTTACCTGAGCATTCATGTTAGCTCCATCCATATACACTTGCCCGCCATTGTCGTGAATAATTTTGCATATCTCATCGATTCCTTCTTCGTAAACTCCATGTGTTGAAGGGTACGTAACCTTGATTTAGGTCGAATATAATATTCATCAAATGGCATATTCAGATTAAGAGAAGGGTAAATGAGTAATACTAATAGTTATTATTACATATATAGATATACCATAAGAGCAGATAAGTTGTCCTTATTTGCTTCTGCAGCATTTCGTAACTCTTCGATATTGATATTCCCTTTGGAATCAGTTCCAACGGCTACGATTTTCATTCCGCACATGGCTGCACTCGCAGGGTTCGTTCCATGTGCAGAGACTGGGATAATGCATACGTTACGGTGGTGGTCCCCTCTCGACTACATTACACAATTAATTAAAACATAAATCAAATGCAATAATTAGTTGCTAATCATTAATTATTTTTTCCTTCTAATTTCTGATGATAAAAAGTTGGCATTATATATATACCAGGTGATACGCACGAATAACCATCAGCCCTGCATATTCTCCAGCAGCACCTGCATTTGGCTGCAGAGAGAAAGAATCGAAGCCGGTAATCGTGCACAGCATTTCACCTAGATTCTTGAACATTTCCTGCAAGTATAATATTTTTCAATTATTTCACCTTATATAAACAAGACGATTTTTTATTTTTTTATTTTTTATTTTTATTTTTTAAAAGACCTGGTAACCGGCAGCTTGTTCGGTGGGGGCAAAAGGATGAAGGTTTGCAAAGGCAGGCCATGTAACCGGCATCATTTCGGTTGTTGCGTTCAATTTCATCGTACAAGATCCTAACGGAATCATGCTGTGGCATAATGAAAGATCCTTTGCTTGAAGCCTATGAATGTATCTAAGAAGCTCGTGTTCCGTGTGAAACCTTAAAAAAAAAAGAAGCACAACGGTTGTAACTTTCCGCTGATTATTTATTTAAATAATCAACTTATAATATGTTTCGTACGAGTTGAATATGGAGTGAGTCAGAAACGGGCTCTCCCTAACAAGCCCCGAAGGGATCAAATTCTTAACCTCAGGTGCAAGAGATTCAGCACTAAATGTCACCTGATAAACATAAAATAAAAGTTAAATAACATGTATGTATACAACCGAAAGTTACTAATGTGCGTCTTGGAAAAAAACTCGTAATTACCGGTTTGCCACCTGCAAAGATTTCAAGAAGCGTATCCACGTCTTCCAAACTGGTTGTTTCATCAAAAGAAACAGTTATCTGAGAGAGAACAAAGAGTTATAAGATTATTCCAAAGTTGTTTCGTATTAAGATTAATGTGTACTAGGATTATATTTATATATAAGCTTACGGTATTATTATCGACAATCCGCAAATTTATTTCACGTTTGTAAGCAGCATCAGCAATTGCCTTTGCATCTGCGCATTTCACCGTCACAGTATCGAAGAATGGAAGTTTCTGGATTTCTACGGTCCCGATTTTTTTCAATCCAGCAGCAAATATTCCAGCTAGACCATTTACCCTTTTAGCAATAGTTTTAAGTCCTTCTGGTCCGTGATAAACAGCGTACATTGCAGCCATGTTCGCAAGCAACGCCTACATAAGCAACATAATAACTCTTCACATAATAATAAATTAAAAGCTGCGATTGATTTCGATTTCAATAAATACATTCACCACGAAATTCTTTAATTCTTTCAATTTTGTCTAAAGAAAATTTTCATTAATACGTACAACTTTAATTAATTACCTGAGCTGTACAAATATTGCTAGTAGCTTTATCCCGACGAATATGCTGTTCCCTAGTCTGCATAGCCATACGAAGAGCCGGTTTTCCATGAGAGTCAACACTAACGCCGATAATTCTACCAGGCATAATCCTCTTATACTCTTGCGAAGTCGCCAAAAACGCGGCGTGGGGCCCACCATACCCCATAGGCACACCGAATCTCTGCGCAGACCCCACCACAATATCCGCCCCCAATTCACCGGGAGGCTTCAACACAGTCAGAGCCAACAAATCGGAAGCCATAACAACCTTAACACCGTTCGCATGCGCATTCTTGATAAATTCCCCATAATCCAAAACCTCACCCTCAGTTCCTGGATATTGCACTAAAACCCCACAAACATCACCGGATTTATAATCGACGTCCTCGACATTACAAACGACGATTTTGAGATCGAATCCATCGGCTCGAGTTCTGCAGACATCAATTGTTTGTGGGTGGCAATTACTTGCAATAATAAATGTCTTCTTCTTACCCTTGAATATGTTATTGCACATGGCCATTGCCTCGGCTGCCGCGGTACTTTCGTCGAGCAGGGAGGCGTTCGACATCGGCAGAGCGGTGAGATCGGTGATCATCGTCTGGTAATTCAGCAGTGACTCGAGCCTGCCTTGTGAAATCTCGGCTTGGTAAGGGGTATATTGGGTATACCACCCTGGATTTTCCATGATGTTTCTCAGGATTACAGGCGGGACGAAGGTGCCGTAGTAACCCATCCCGATGTAGGACTTGAAAACCTTGTTCTTCGATGCCAGGTGTTTCATGTGTTCGAGCATCTGCGATTCGGTCAGCCCCTTGTCGAAGATGGGCAGCTCCATTTTGTCGGCGCGGATGGATTTGGGTACGGTGGCGTCGATGAGTGAATCGAGGGTTTCGAACCCGGCGAAACCGGCCATCCTGGATTGATCCTCCGGCGTGGCGGAGTTGTGGCGGCGGGCGAAGGTGTCGCTCGGTTTGAGGGCGTCGACGGAGATGGATCGGGTGAACGTGAAGCTGTGAGCTTTTCTGACAACATTGCTGCCACGTGGCACTAAAGCCGGAGGTAAGGAGGAAACGTACCTGGAGGATCTGTACAATGGCTGCTGCTTGGATGCAGAAACCAGGCGTCTGAGTATTGCTCTGTTCACTAATTTTCGGGCACGCTCCATTTTTCTTGTTTTTTTTTTTTTTTTTTTTTTTTGAAAGACTGCAAATTATGCTATTGTTTCAGTTCTATTTAGGGAGGAAGAATCAATTAAAAAAAATTCCATAAATTAAGAAAGTGGGTGGTGGTGGTAATGGGTTGTTGATGATGAAGACACACTTTTTTATTTTTATTTTTAATATGTAATATACAAATAATAATTATTGAATATTTACTTTAATATAATGGGATTTGAATCTTTGATCTTGATGTATGCTATTGTTTCAATATATATTATTTTTTATACAGTACATGCATACACAACACCAACTTGTAGAAAAAACTAATCTTTTTCTGCACATAAGTTGCTGAAAAACAGAGCCTCGAAAAAAAAAATGTTGGTTAATTAATTCCATTTAAAAAAGAATCGTGTTACCAACAATTTTGCATAATTGGAATAGCGACTTTGGTTGAGGTAGGCAGTAGCGAATCAGTATGGGAGTTGGTGAATCTTTTTGCATTTTTTTTTGATAATTTGAATCTTTTTGCATTTAACAAACAATCATGGGGCCTCGGGCGTTGGAGCTTGATGCTGATTGGTTTTGGTTCAATCTCCACCGTTCGATCAATAGCAGCCCTTCGAAATCGACGGCTGCTGATATTTGTATTCCCACTCACTAATTGTTTTGAGCGTCAACTGAGTCAGCTATTTGTATTGCATAAACTGATAAAAGAATCCACCAAACTTTTATTAATTTCCGTGTCTTGTTGTAATTAATCACTAATCACCCACTACTTCGGCTTCATTCTACAATGGTTGTGCACTTGTGCTTATTATATAAAAGTGTTGGTACTATTTACCAAATTCAATCAAAGATCTCAAAATGTCCACAATTGAACTAGCAATAATCATGCACATAAAACCCTAATTTGGAAGATAAATGCATGAAATAAGACCATAAAAGTTTACGTAGTTCATCCTCGAAGAAAATGGTCTACATGGCAACACCGTTGGTTTACAGAGATTACTAATGATTCATAAGATTACACAAAACCTCTCTTCTATTAGATTTCTTCTTCCCTTATCTCTCTTCTCTTATGTAATTTAGTGTGTGTGTGTATGGTGCGTGTATATGAGTTATCGTATGAAATTCCTCTCTTATAACTGCCTTAGCTTCAATCATCGGCTTTTCACGTGGACTGATCTTCCATCTAAACTCCACTTAGATTAGTTGACCAAACTACTTCAAAAAGAATCTAGCAAACTTAACACATGATTGTTCTGAGTTGTTATGTTTGTTTTTCAATTAACAAAAATTAAGCTGAATATAATTAGCAATTGAAGCTCAAGCTTTTTACAATCGCTTAAACTTATTTAATTTTCAGCAACATTTACCCTTTTAGATTTATTTATTTATTTTTGACAGATATCTGTAAGCATAGAGTTTAGAATAGATACAACTATTAACTACTTAATTACACCAAAAGCCAAAGATTAAATTAATGGAGGCAATGTGCAGCAGTAGCACTTAAGAATAGTTACACAGATTAAAATACAACCAATTAATAGTACAGATTTCAAAAAAAAAAAAAGAAAAAAAATGGTCATGACTCAGACCATTCGCTTCACTCAGAATACAACAAAAGGAAAGGCAAGGAATACTCTAACCTTTAAAAAAAATTAAAGAACCGAAAAATTCAATTTTTTTTTCTTTCTATTTTTATTTTTAATTCCAACACAGTTATGAATCAAGCCCATACAGCAAGTAAAGACATCAAAGCAGCACCAAAAAACAGAGCTACATAAGACACAATTTGGAGCCTCACATTGGAACTCATTCTCTTACTCAAGAAATCGGCTGCAATTAAATCGACCAAAGCCATGTACACCAAAATCCCAGCTGAAATAGAGTCCAAAACGCCCTCGATTATTAGAGCACGTGGGCTATTAGCATTGTAAACCGAAGCAATACCAATTCCCAAAGCAATACCCATTGGTGTAGTCAAGGCAAAAAAGCAAGCCATTATTGTCGATTGAAGGGTCCCAAACTTAGCCTGAGAGATGCAGCCACCCAGTGCAAAACCCTCGAAGAATTGATGAAATGATAAAGCCCCGATTAAGGGTCTAATTGTACACGGGCTATGCGAAACTCCGAGAGACAGTCCTATGATCACAGAGTGTGAAACTATCCCAAGTTCAAGAACCTGTAATGAAAACAGAGCAAGGACTTGATATATTAGCTTTGAAACGAGGCTAATGAAATTTTGGAAGCAAATTTGAACTTTTAATTTGTCCGATTTTTGTTATGTGCAGCTTCAATTTCTAACTAAATTACCAGCATTTTGTAGGTCGTTCCATCAGATTTCGAAAAAGAAATATTTTCCAGCGATCAAGAAATACAGTCTGATATTATTCGATGAAATATTAGAAAAATGACTAGTAAAGTAAATAACGAAAAATATGGAGAATTCCAAAAGTGATGCAACAAAATACGCCTACGAAGAAAGTTGATCTAAAGATTGAAACCTAGAGTACAAGTAAAAGAATTATTATCATGGACACAGTCATCAAAACTAGTTTCATCAGGAAACGGCAACACGAACACAAACAGAAAATCACAGATATGCCTTTTAACGTCTATGTAGATGTAACAGGGGAGATATATGAAATTAGACAGAAGTCAATGACAATTTTTAAACGTGTGCAATAGAGATAAGAAACATGCCTGTGAAACAACAACGTGCCTAACACCACTTTCATCATCACCAGTGTCAATCCCGTGCGAGTGACCATGCGGAGAATCCCTCCCTGGATAAAACCCTTCACGCACACCCTGTTCTTGATCATGACTATGAGTATGATATGCTGCATGCGCATGCATTCCCACTATATGCATACCACCCCCTTCTTCTTCATTCCCACTATTACCCTTCGTTCCCACAGGAACAATCCCCGTTTCGGACAAACTATCCGATGACTCATCGTCATTAACAACAACAGATTGACCTTGTTTCTCATGTTTCCTCTCGTAGTACTGAGTTCCTACAAAATCCGCCAGAAGAGTGGCTAAAGCAGCCATCATCGCAATGAACCCCGAAAAGGGGAATTTGGACCACGGGAATTTGGGCAGGCAAGAGTCCGTGAGCGCTGACGTGGCATCAGGTAGGATGTGTACAAATCCCGTGGCGAGGATGACCCCGGCGGCAAAGGCTTTGGCGACTACAAAGAGGTTGGAATCTGTTCGTAGGAAACGGTGTTTCTTGCCGACTAACGGGATGGACACACCGCAGACTCCTGCTACGAGAATTGCCGAAATCGCAACAAGTTTGAGGATGAGGGCGGACGACTCGTCGCGGCACGTCTCGTATTCTTCGCCGCTGGTCCCACACGTAATGTTTGACATTGATTCGGAAACGTTCTGCACAAAAGAGTCTTCATATGACCGCCAAAACAAGGAATATTGACAGAGTCAGTAATTGGACTGGTTAATGTTTAAAATACTGGCAAGAGTTGCAGAATATAACGACTCAGACGGTAACAAAAGCTCAAAAGTGCCACAAGTTCTAAGTGCTTAGGAGTTATGACAGTTCAGATTGATGGGGCCGCAAATGCAGACAAGAGATGACAATTCCATAAACCAAAAAAAAAAAAAAAATCGAGATCGAAATAACGATCGCAACTCTAAAACAGTTAACCATCTCAAAAACAAGAACTGAATTCTGAACAAACTACAAGTCACTGAAAGTGCACTGTCAAAGTTCCACTCCATGAAAATATAATAAATAAATGGAAACTTTTGAGCTATTGTATAAATGAAAACTTTTGAGCTTTTGTTGTCAAATTGACCAATTAGGGATTGCATAAAGCAAAGTATACTGCCTATAGAAGCATATCAACATATAAAAAAGTACCTTTTCTCGTAAACTACCGAATAAAAACCCACAAATCAAAAATTGAATCATTTTAACTCAGTTCCAAGGCATAAATTTTAGGGGTGTCGAAGTTTACCAGAATAACCCTGAATTCTCCCTCCAAAATTCCCCAACCAAAGCACCGGCAACAGATCCTGCACCAAAATTCAAAATTCGAATCAAAATCAAAGCCCTAATCTTCAAACAAGTCCAGAAAACAAACATACTGTGAAACTGCGTGTGCGCGTGTGTGTGTTGTGAGTGAGAGAGAGAGAGAGAGAGGGGGGAGAGAACCTCTAGAAATGACATATTGGAAACAACTCAAAATCTCTCTAGTTTTAATTCGCCCCGTTCAATTCGGCAAAATCTCGAAGCAGGAGCACGAATCTCTAAACACCTGGATATGTGTGAAGAGCGGCATGCATACATATATATACACACACACAGAGAGGAATGGAATCAAATAATAGGGCTGACGAGTTCCAAGTACATGACATGGGATGATGATTGTTTTCGTCAAAAGATGAAGGAATAAAGGCACAGAGAGATAGAAACTGTGTACATCGATACAAAATTGTGTAGATTTAGAGAGAGAAAGAGAGAAGACGAGAAATGTCAACATATCTTGAAGAAATTAGAAACATGGGAGTTGCGTTTGAAAGAGGAATCAGCTGGATTGTGTCGACACCTTTGTGTAACCCTTATCGAATAACACTCATTTATTTATTTCCCGAGCCGTGTGCATGTGAACATTCATTCCTGAGATGCCCTGTTTTTTTTTTTTTTTTTTAATGAATATTTTAATAATAATTCTAAATATTATAGTCATTGTTATTAATCTTTAATATATAATTCATAAATTTCATTTAGTCAAATTGGATGCCCAAAATCATGCCTTTTTTCGAGTAATAAAGAAATTAGTTTTAATTTTCAATTATAAAGAAATATAATCTTTGTTTTTTTTTTTCTTGATCTAGTAGAGGTCTTACCTCATGAGTCATGCATTAGTGAATTAAAAAAATAAATAATTTGGGTTTCTAACCTTTGATAAATTGGTACAAATTCACCTGCTCCGATCGCTGAACTATTCGTTGTGGGAGATTTATTTATAGTTGACGCGAGACCGAGTGTCGTTATAATTACTCATTGCCATCATAAGCTATTTGTTATCCTAGTATTCAAGGAAAGTAATTCTTTATTTCTACTTGTAATTTTGAAATGAAGAGAGGTGCCATCTAAATTAAATGTGTAATGAATCAACAATTATTGCTCTCTATAATTTCCACCTGTCAGGAAAATGTCGACACTATGTGGTGAAGTGTTGACTATTACTCTTTTATTTTATTTTATTTTATTTATTATTTAATTTATTTTACAAGTAAATAAATACTCTATTGTCTTGTGTTTTTAGATAATTGATTTAAAGGAAATTACAAAAATCAACTATTTAGAACTTTGAGTAGTTTGGATGAATTAAATTTATAATTAAAAAAAATATATAATTTTTATATTTGAATTTAATATAAATTTGATAGGATGGGCTTCTTGTGTTTGATAATTTGATAGAATGGGCTTGGTCTATGGTGTAAACTTTAGATATATAGACATTAGTCATTAGATAAATGGGCCTACCCCAAAAATTGGAACAAAATGTCTGATTTGATTCCAAGTTCCAAGTCCAACAATTGCAATTGGCAAATCTATAATAAGACAAAAGTGCAGAAACGCCGTCGTTTGGCTGTTGTGGTTCTGCTGATTGCCGTCTGACATCACCAACATGCAAGTTATTATTAAAATATCCCTCATATTTAACTCGTTTTCTCTTTTTTCCCACCACTTTTCTTTTGTCCATTTCTTCAAAGCATATCTTAAACACGTAAGCCATTCCGATTTATATTAACAAAATAAAAAATAAAAAATCAAGATTATATCCCTATTTGATTGATTATAGGGGTAATATGCTATGAGTCCCTCAAATCAAACATAATTTGAACTAAATGACAAGTCTAAATTCAATCTTTTAATTAAATCCTCAACTTGAAATAATATATGACTCACATCCCTAACTTTTTTTTAATCACTATCTTGCCCTTATTCCTTAACTATTATAACTTACATATACCACGTTTCTCATCTCAGATTTATTTCTCTTCTTCCATCTTCTCTCTCGCTTTTTCCTCTCGTCTTCTTTATATCGATCTCTCTCCTCTCTCTTTTTCTCTTACATCTCTATCTTGCTTCTCCATCAAGCACAAAGGTCGGCGACCGAGAGAGCAGGAGTGGAGCGACGGAGGAAGTGGTTGAGGCGGCAGCGGCGGGGTATTGTATGGCGGAGAAACAGGTTTTTTTCTTTTTTTTTTTTTTTATAAGATTTGCTAATTTTTTTCATTTTTTTGTACAGATCTGTGATTAAAAGTATATGTTGACTAATTGTATATGTTTTTATTGTTTTTTTAAGAATTTTGGCTTGGTTTTGGATCTGATTTGCTATTTTTATTCGATTTGTTGTAGGTTATTGAACGTTTTTAGGGCAACGATTGCGTGGCGGCACACGTTAGGGTTCAAAATTCCAGATCTACGTTTTTCAACAGATGGTAGGTGATTATGGGTGCCGACGGCTGCAGTTGTCGCGCTGCTAGGGTTTGACGGCGGCTGCGTCGATTGCTAGGGTTGGCGACGGCTAGGAGTTGTTGGCGGCTAGGGTTTGGAATAGTACACTGTAGTATACTATAGTACTGCGTAGTATACCACAATACACCGTAGTATACTACAAGTTGATGCACTGTATATGAATATCCATATATGAATAGCAGATGATGTACTGTATATGAATAGCCAGATGATGTGCGAAGAAGTAAAACTCCAGTTTTATATGCCTACAAGCATGATAATGACTACGGTAAATATAGATAACTGCAGATATTGATAGACGATTTGAATAAAAAAATAAAAAAATAACATATATATATATTTTTTAATTTTCAATACATGTTACGTAAAAAAAAGGATTTTTTATTTATAATAATGTATAAAATACTAAAAAGACGAAAGGAAAAAAAAAAAGGACAAATCGGTATTCTGTAAAAATAAAATTTAGAAAAATTAAAAAATTAAATGCAGACTAAGAAAATGATAAATGCAATTTGAATTTATTTAAGGTAAATTTCGAATTTGGTAGGAGAAGGGCATTTTTGGAATAAATTTAATAAAGGATGTGAAGCAAATGTTTAGTTAGACTTGTCATTTAGTTCTAATAAGTTTTGTCACTAGGGACCTATATCTTAAGACCCCTTGATTATATCAGAAAGATTGGTCCTTTACAAATGAACTGATGTCTACGTATCAATGATGTAATAGTAGAGCGAGCTCACTGCTCTAATTATTAATGATGTAGTAATATAATTGATGCCTAAAATCTAATTAATCAAGCAATTAATACTTAATAATCACATTATTCCAATTTATCTCTTCTCCATTTACTATTTAGTACTCGAAAGAAACAAAAAAACAACGACAAACTCCATTTATACAACCACTATTTTTTTTGATAATTCATTTATACAACTACTAGCTCGTGACCATCATCTCCCAACAAATTAACACTTCATTTCTCTCTCTCTCTCTCTCTCTCTCTCTCTCTCTCTCTCTCTAAAATCATATTAGCAACAAAAATAGAATTATAAAATGATTGAAGAATCTGCATCTGAAGAAATAGGATCTTCAATATGGGCATTCATCAACACTCCCACCGCTCTTTTCATCCTCCTCAATCTCATGATTCTCACCATTTTCTTCACCTCCACATTTTCTCTCTCTAAAAATCACAACGTCGCTAAATCACCAACACAATCACTTCTCCAACGCATTAAATCCATCGACTTTAATCAGCGACCAAACCCAGAAGATTCCGACACACTGCAGCAGTCCCACTACTTCTTCCAAGAAAATCTTGAAATTTCTCACTCACAATCACAACAACCACCCCAATACATCATTTCCGACCAAACCCACCAAATTAATCCTCAACAAACACCAACCCATCTCGTTTTTGAGCAAAAAGATTCCAACTTTGAAGATTTTCATCAGGCCCGTGACGAAGAAAAAAATGTACTTGATGAGCAGAGTATGTGTATGACAGACAGTCACTTTATTAGTAGGACTAAATCGGACACCGAGCCAGCTTCCGGTGAGTTTCCGACCAAACTTCCGGCAAGAATGAGGAAGTCGGCGAGTTTGAAATCGGCGTTCGGGCATTTCGAGGAGGAGGAGGTTGTGGTGGAGGCGAGGCGGCCGGCGACTGTGAGGGTGACGGGGAATGCTAAAGTGACCGGCGGTGACGAAGAGGTGGATGCGAAAGCAGATGATTTCATCAACAGGTTTAAGCAGCAGCTGAAGCTTCAGAGGCTTGACTCCATTATCAGGTACAAGGACATGATTGGGAGGGTTACTGGGGGAGGGTAATATATGCTATTCTACGTTTTCAAGGGGGTTGTTTTGTAATATTTTTTACTTCTGGGGCTGTTTGTAATTTTGAGTAACTTCTGGGGTTTTGGCATAGAATAGGTCAATAGATGGTGGTAAATGTAAAATGCGGATCTGATGCTGTCTGAGCATGTGATTGGTTGCACGCACCGTTTCGGTAAATGGTCTGGTTTTGGATGGGTATTTTTGTCATTTAGCATTCATTTGAGGGACTAAATATTCACTTTAATATTAATTTAATTAGTGGAGGTAAGCTTACAGATTTGACCAGTCAGTCACCATTGTTATATTGTCATATTTCTTTGCTCATTATTGCAAATTAAAATATATACACTTCTTATAAACTTATCCTATTGAATAAATTCCTTGATTTTCTTCCATAGAAAAAAAGAAGAAAAAAAATTGATTTTCTCACGTGGGGTGTTTGGAAGGGGTATTTTGGTAAATATACAAAGAAAATAACATAAGTTAAACTGGGCCGTGGGCTTGTGTACTTGAATCCTCCTCTGAATTTGGATTCTTCAACAGTTATACATTTTACTTGGGGGGCAAATAAATTTGAAATAGTTAGGCCCAGTAAGAAAAAATAAAAAATAAAAAATAAATTAAAAAATGAACACACGCACACGGCACGTGCATGTATAATACATGTACATTTTGGGTATGAAAAATACAAATTTCGATTAATTATAATTATAGTATTGAAAGGAAACTACTAAAATAGTTCAAAAATAAAATAAATTAATATTAAAATAGCAAAATATTAATAAGTTTACTGAGCGAGAAAAAAATACATTCCCATACATGATGCGGCGTCGAAGTCACATGTGTGACATCACACATGTGCACCTCCATTATTGCAGATTTTTCTTGTCTTTTAAATTTTAATTTAATTCGGCCAACAATATATATTTTATGTTATCTATATTATAATATAACCATTGTGACCGTTGTAGTGTACTCTTCAAATATTTTGACCCCTTCATTTTCATCTCCAAAGTCAATAAAATCTAACATAATATTAGTCAATTTACACTCAACAAATATTATTAGTCCACTTTTTGAATTTTAGTCAACGAAATTGAGATAATTATTATAATTTTCATGGGCTTGAATTTGAAAGGGTTTTGTGGATTTTCAGCCCAATTGTTTATTGATTTAAATAGCCCAAATTAAAAAAAAAAAAACTGTAAATTTACATAAATAGTGTAATATTTTGATCTTGTGTCGGTGGGCAATAGTGTAAAATAAATTAAATTAACCAACCCACCACCCAATTAATGACACCTGACCAAAATTATATACTATACTGATAAATTATTCATTATTGTACGCCACTTGCTTAATTTGCTGCTACCTCGAATACCAAATAAGTCATTAGTTGTTTATTGACTTTTAGGTTAAGTTAATCACAGAAGACAGTAATTAATTAGTGATCAATCTATTAATTATTTTTTCGATATCAGGATAACTGAAATTGATATATAAAATTTATTTATATTTTCAAATTGAGCTAAATCAATTTAGTGAGTTTAACCTAAAAATTGACTAAGAGTCAAAATCTGGAGGACTGTTGATATTGACACACATGAATGTAGTTGTAACAAACAATCATTTTTTGATAAGTATTGAGTAATGGAATTGACATCTTATAAAGAAGAAG